CCTGCCCACTCCAGAGCAGCATCTGACACTACACCTTGCATAAGGGTGATTGTTTTATCTGTCTCTAAATGAGTGTAAATGGATTGACTGCAATCCATCTGGGTACAACCAAGGAAAAGGATACTTCCTAGTTTCCATAAGAGAGGTAAAATGTTGCATGGAGGGGTATAGTCCTGAATTCCTTCCAGGGGATAGTGGGGGAGGGAGCTTGCCCTGGAGATACAGTATCTGCCCCTCCTCTTACTGCTCCTGGGCAGGTTGAGCTGCCAGACATTCCAGAGAGGTCCATGGTAGGATTTCGAGACTTCGTGTGGGGACGTCCCAAAACTAGGATACAGGGCACGTTGAGCCTCATATCATACAAATGTTATAAATATATGTGTATTATACTCGATAAACTCAAAATAATAAATATACGACAGACTGCTGTTATCTTTGCCCATGAGTTTATGTGTGTTTTGCCTCTATCCCATATGAATATGCCAGGGTTCCACATGAAATGTATGGCAGTTCAGTAAAATAATGCTCAAGACCAAGGAGAACATTTCAGCAACATTAGAGTATGGTCCAGACTCAACAGACTGAGTCCCAGGTCTCACAAGCACCCCACTCTGACCAGAGAAAGAGGAAAGGCTGGATCCCCAAAACCTGAAGAGGACTACACTTCTTTACATGGATCATCCCTGAACAGGACATGTCCTCTCCTCAGTGACAGCAGCCTCCTGCTGGCAAGCACACCACCAGGAAAGGAAGCCCAAAGACCAGGCAGGCCACTGCTTAGGGGCCTCAAATCTCCAGACTCAGGGCATACATACATATCTGACACTCTGACTTGATGTCAGCAGATTCTTCCTGAAAATCACAGCACATGGGACTGGTTTCCTTTGATATGAAACTCCTACAGAACAATTACCATACAGTAGAAACACAGTAGAAATATTTAATCATTTTTAATCTGCATATATTTCTTCCACTTTCTCTCTCACACACACACACACACACACACACACACACACACACACACATTTATTTTTAGGCAAGGCAACCCTTGGTTGACCTCACAGATTACAAGGACCTTGTCAGCTTATGATCCCTTATTTTTTTATTTTTTGATGCCTACGGCACCTGGTCTTCCTAGGTGGTCTTCCATCCAAGTACTAACCAGGCCTGACCCTGCTTAGCTTCCGAGATCAGATGGGATTGGGTGTGTTCAGGGTAGCATAGCCGTGGACTTCTTTCCCATATATTTTTGTGAAACATTTTTAAAGTGAGATCTTAGCTTGTGGGTTCTATTTAGACTTGTGTTGTTCAAACTCTGGGTCATGGTGCACTTGGGAATTATAAATCAATTCAATGGGTTATGACCAGCAGTTTTTAATTAAATGGAACTGAAAAAAATTATAGGGTAGTACTGTTTTATTAAACTTTTGTTTTATGCATAGGTGTCCTGGGCAGCCATGTAAAATGTATTCCTTACTGAGGGTTACATTAAAAAGATGTGGACACCTCTGATTTATACAACCATCCCATTGTGTCAGGGGACTCTTGGGTGGTCCTGTCTGGGCAGCAGAAGCTTCAATCATTAGTCAACACCTCCTTTGCGGGTGTCTGGCTGGGCTATTTCATTCCCAGGAGAAAATGTATAAAAGCTCTAACTGGAAGAGGAACATAAAAGGAAGAGACATCCTGCAGTCTCTATCTTGCAAAGTTGCGGACTCTTGCTTGCTTGCTACTTTGTCAGAGCTCTGTGGAAGAAAGAAGGAAGCCTGCCACTAGTGCTTGTCCAGATAAAGGAAAGCTGTAATTTGGTGTCACCACCTTTAGCCAGCTTGGGTAGAAAAGAGAGATTGTTTCCTCAAAGGATGAAGGGCAGTGACCAGCTCCATGGAGCCTGGCAGTAGACAGATCTTTCTCTGTCCACCCCCACCTCCGCCCCGAAATGCACAGCTCCCCTGGACTTCTGAGTCAGTTCAAGGAGAGCGGCCTCAGCATCCGAGGGTGGGTAGCACTGAGAGCTCGATGTTACCTATTTGAGTAGAAAATAAAAAGACTTGATCGAAAACACTTTGATGTCTGCATCTCCAAGATATGACTCTCTCGAGCTCACTGCCTGACAAATAGAACCTGATCATTAGTTTGGGTCCTGGCAATGTCCTGGATCTTTGGCAAAAAAAAACCCCTAAAGCACTCCTGCATCCAGAATCACTGGGAAATGGGAGTATTCGGATGGATAAGATTTCCAGAGAACAAACTCACCCTGTTAAGTATAGAATTTAAAAAATACATCTTATCTACCAAAAAAAAAAAAAAAAAGAAAGAAAAAAAAAACCAAGAAGAAGGAAGGCTCCTTAACTCCTTTTATGAGGCCACCATTACCTTGACTCCAAAATCAGACAGACATTACAAAAAAAAAAAAAAAAAGAAAGAAAGAAAACAAAAGAAAAGGGGGGGAAATCATCTAAACCAAGCCAGTTTTCCCTGCCACCAAGCTCTGCTGCCCTCTGGAGCACTGTGACGTGTCCTGTATCTCTGTCACTGCTCTCTTACCCGCAGTGGTCTCTGAATCTGGCTCTGCTCCCCACTCACCACATGGGTTGTTTTTCCTTTTCATCTCCAAGCTGGCTGCTCCCTCACAGATATCTGGATACCCCACTACCCATCAAATCTGCCTCACCCTCCCAGGCCACTTCAAGGTTCTCCTCCTCTATGAAGCACTCGCCACTACCACCACCACCACCACCACCACCAGCAGCCCCCACTTTTTTTTGGCCAGTGCTCCACAATCTCCCTTTCCTGTGAGGTCCTTCAGTGTCATGGGTATCACACAACTTAATGTTTTATTATATTTTGTTTGCTGTTTCATTCATAAATCTTTTCTTTCCCATTGGTTTCTATGAACTTAAGGACAGAGACATCATTTACTTCCTGGGAATTATTCCATAACCTACAGCCGAGGGTCTTGTGAACCATTAAAAACAAATAGTAATTGTTCTTTGTTTGTGTGGGAGCATTTTGTCCTCCTTTCTGTCTTCGGAGAGGAAACAATATGTACCTTTCTTTTAAAAAGTCTTCGAACTCTTTGCAATTCTTGCGGCCATTGTTCAGATGTTGGATGATGCTGTCATAGCCGATGGTGCTGAGGATGTCCAGACTCTGGCAAAAAATAACAACAACAACAGCACTGTTATACCAGGAAGCCCCAAAGCCTGAAGAGACAGGGGAAGCCAACAATGAGAAGTTCCTGAAACTTTACCTCCAAGACATCTGTGACCAAAACTAACAAAATAGAAGAAGTAAGAATGTAAGTAGCTGTGGAAGAGTTTCTAAAATTATGAAACCGAAGGGCCACAAAACAGGAAGGAAGTGACAGAGGATTGAGCGGTACATGGAAAAGGGAGTTGGCTGGGCTCAGGCCCCTGTCAGGGCCCCCACCTGTGCCCTAAATCAGGCCAGGACCAGGCACCCACTCCAGCCTTCTGAAGAGCACTCTTTCATCCTGCTGAGCGAGAACTCACACCACAGGTCCATTTTAACCAGGGGCTATACAACGTTTGCTTTGTCTTTGAACTTGTCACAGAACTTGACTGTGATGTCTCCTCCCACAACCAATAAGCCCTATCTGAGGTGGAGAGTATGGCTGCAAAGGGCAAGCAGCCCTGAGCCAAGAGCCAGTCCTCAGAAGTGGGACGTGGAGGCCAACTTCCCACTGAAAAGCACAGAGGGAAGCCCAGCAGCCAGCATGCGCGGCATGGTCAGTGGCCCCAGCTTGAAGAAAGGAATTTTTCTTTGAATTTTAAATTAGCAGTTTATTCCGATTTTATTCTACTATGTGCTCTGAGGGTGGAGGAAGCTGCCTAAGTCTCTCAAAGTGGTAGACCCACATGCAGTATGCTTTAAAAATCAAAGTCTCCTCACCTCCCAAACCAACAACTCAGGGCTCTAAAGAATACCCCCAAAGGTTCATCCAATCTGGTTTCCTGGTTTTCACTCCCAAATGCATACAGCAGGCTGCCTGATTCAGACTCCAGTCCCCGAAGGAGATTGGTTAGGCTGCTTCTGGGCATTTCCCGAGAGCTTTGAAGCCCCTCACCCCCAACCTAGCCAAGGCAGATTATGCCTTCCCCGCCCCCTGTCTGCAGAAAGGGGTGTGACTCTTGAGTGCGAGTGGAGGCACCTGAAGGTACCTTTCTACCCAGCCCTGGACATGGAAGTAGCAAAATTCCTCTCTTACATTTGCTGTCTCTCATCACCGCCTGTCTGAGCAGACAGGGTTCCCAAAGAAACCCAGCAGGACAAGGTCTGAGGCTGATTTCAACATGGCACTCGTTAACTAAACTGACCACAACTCACACTGCATTATTAACAATGGATTATTATAATAAATTTTAAACCTTGGCATATACATAAATCTAAGTTAGAAATACATTTAATTCCATTGGTACTGGCTGTTGTTTGAGCATAGATTAAAGCCCTGGCAAGCGTACAGAAACAGCCTCCACCAAAGCTTCATTTCTCTACCTGTGCCCTCCAGACACGCTCTCCCATCTCAGCCAGAGGCTACTTA